CCAAACCCCCTAAACCCCCCCTTTCCCCCCCAAAACCAGACATCCGCCTGCGCGTGCGCGCCGAGTACTGCCAGCACGACTCCGCCCTGCACGGCAACGTCTTCTCCAACAAGCAGGACCCTCTGGAGCGCCAGTTCGAGCGCTTCAACCAGGCCAACACCATCCTGAAATCCCGGGATTTGGGCTCCATCATCTGCGACATCAAATTCTCGGAGCTCACCTACCTCGACGCCTTCTGGCGGGATTACATCAACGGCTCCCTCCTGGAGGCCCTCAAGGGCGTCTTCATCACGGACTCGCTCAAACAGGCCGTGGGCCACGAGGCCATCAAGCTGCTGGTCAACGTGGACGAGGAGGATTACGAGCTGGGCCGCCAGAAACTCCTCAGGAACTTGATGCTCCACACGGCTCCCTGAGGGATCCACCCCCCCAGCCCCCCAGTTTTTGGGGTGTTTATTTTTGGTTGGTTTTTTTTTTTTTTTTTTTTTCGGGATATTCTGGTTTTTTTTTTTCCCCCCCCCGATTCTTCCGCGGAGCCCGCTCACGGATTTGGGGAGAGGGGTGGAGGTGTGGGGGATTCCGGGATTCGGAGGTTTTTGGGGGTCCTGATGGGTTCTCCTTGTGTTTTCCATGGGGTTTCCCCTCCTGTTTTTTCTTTTGTATCCATTAAAAATGGTGATGAAAAGGCAAAGATCCCATTGGTGCGACACGCTGGGATTGGGGGGTGCGGAATATTCCAGAACGCCTCACTTTTCCCTGTCAGTTCCTCCTTCTTGTGTTTTCCATGTTTTTCCCTATTTTCCTTTCTTTTGTATCCATTAAAAATGGTGATGAAAAGGCAAAGATCCCATTGGTGCGACACGCTGGGATTTGGGGGTGGGGGTGTGGAATATTCCAGAATTCCTCAATTTTCCCATCAATTCCTCATTTTCCTTATCAAATTCCTCATTGTGTTTTCCATGTTTTTCTCTATTTTCCTTTCTTTTGTATCCATTAAAAATGGTGATGAAAAGGCAAAGATCCCATTGGTGCGACACGCTGGGATTTGGGGATGGGGAATATTCCAGAACTCCTCGTTTTTCCCTGTCAATTCCTGATTTTCCTTACCAAATTCCTCCTCGTGTTTTCCATGTTTTTCCCTATTTTCCTTTCTTTTGTATCCATTAAAAATGGTGATGAAAAGGCAGAAATCCCATTAGGTGCGACACGCCGGGATTTGGGGATTGGGGGTGTGGAATATTCCAGAATTCCTCACTTTTCCCTGTCAATTCCTGATTTTCCTTACCAAATTCCTCCTCGTGTTTTCCATGTTTTTTCCCCTCTTTTATACCCATTAAAAACGACGAAAAGCAAATGGCAATTTCCCCCAAAATTCCCATTTTCCTCCCCAAAATCCCTGTTTTTCCCCCCCAAAAAAATCCCCATTTTCCCCCAAAACCTGACAGGGATGGAGTTTTTTCCCATTTTCCTTGTTTTTTCCCCCATTCCCACCCAGCACTTGGGGGTTTCAGGGTTGTCCCCAATCCCTCCCATCCCACAATTCCTCCACGCTTTGGGGTCATTTCTTGGGATTTTTTGTATTTTTCAAATTTCAATAAAAAGAAATTCCTCCCCCCAGAACCTCCCCCCCTCCAAAAAAAAAAAAAAGGCGAAACCCCCAAAAAAGAGCACTTGGGGGTTTCAGGGTTGTCCCCAATCCCTCCCATCCCACAATTCCTCCACGCTTTGGGGTCATTTCTTGGGATTTTTTGTATTTTTCAAATTTCAAAAAAAAAAAATTCCCCCCCCCACAACCCCCCCCCCCCCAAAAAAAAAAAAAAGGAGCAACCCCCCAAAAAGCAGAAATCCCTTTTGGGGACAAAAGTGCTGATTCAGTGCAAATTTGAGCTGATTTGGGGAAGATTTGGGGTTGAGTTGATGCAGATTTTGGGGTGAATTAGGGCAGATTTGGGGCAGATTCAGGGTCAAGTTTGGACTAAGCTGATGCAGAATTGGAGCAAATTTGGGGCTGAATTGGGACCCCAAAAAAGATTGGGGACCCTAAAAAGAGAGCAGGGAGGACACATTGTGCCATTCAATTTTGGGGAGAAAAAGGGCAGATTTGGGACTGATTTGGGAGCCCTAATAAATAAAGGTGGGACACATTGTGCCATTCCATTTTGGGGACAAAAGGGCAGATTTGGGGCTGATTCAGAGCTGAATTGGTGCAGATTTGGGACTGATTTGTGGGAGATTTGGGGCTGATTTGTGGGAGATTTGGGGCAGATTTGGGACCCCCAATAAAGAAATGGGGGACACATTTTGCCATTCCATTTTGGGGACAAAAGGGCAGATTTGGGACTGATTTGGGAGCCCTAATAAATAAAGGTGGGACACATTGTGCCATTCCATTTTGGGGACAAAAGGGCAGATTTGGGACTGATTTGGGGCTGAATTGGTGCAGATTTGGGACTGATTTGTGGGAGAATTCGGGCTGATTTAGGGCTGAACTGGTGGAGATTTGGGGCTGATTTGGGACCCCCAAGAAAGGGGGGACACGTGCCTTTCCACTTTGGGGACAAAAAGGGCAGATTTGGGACTGAATTGGTGCATGGGACCCCAAAAAAGATTGGGGACCCTAAAAAGAGAGCAGGGAGGACACTGCTCCCTTTGTGCCATTCAATTTTGGGGAGAAAAAGGAGAAAAAGGGCAGATTTGGGACTGATTTGGGGGAATATTTGGGGCTGAATTAATGCAGAGGTGGGACTAATTTGGGGGAGATTTGGGACCCCCAATAAATAAAGGGGGGACACGTTGTGCCATTCCATTTTGGGAACAAAAAGGGCAGATTTGGGGCTGATTCAGAGCTGAATTGATGCAGATTTGGGACTGATTTGGGGGAATATTTGGGGCTGAATTAATGCAGAGGTGGGACTAATTTGGGGGAGATTTGGGACCCCCAATAAATAAAGGGGGGACACGTTGTGCCATTCCATTGTGGGAACAAAAAGGGCAGATTTGGGACTGATCTGGGGCTGAATTGTTGCAGATTTGGGGCTGATGTGGGGCTGATTTGTTGCAGATTTGGGGCTGAATTGGTGCAGATTTGGAACTGAATTGTTGCAGATTTGGGGCTGATTTGGGGCTGAGTTGATGGAAATCTGGCACCCACGAAGAGAAAGGGGGGACTTCAGGGTCAATTTTGGACTAAGCTGATGCAGAATTGGAGCAAATTTGGGGCTGAATTGGGACCCCAAAAAAGATTGGGGACCCTAAAAAGAGAGCAGGGAGGACACTGCTCCCTTTGTGCCATTCAATTTTGGGGAGAAAAAGGAGAAAAAGGGCAGATTTGGGACTGATTTGGGGGAGATTTGGGACCCCCAATAAATAAAGGGGGGACACGTTGTGCCATTCCATTGTGGGAACAAAAAGGGCAGATTTGGGACTGATCTGGGGCTGAATTGTTGCAGATTTGGGGCTGATGTGGGGCTGATTTGTTGCAGATTTGGGGCTGAATTGGTGCAGATTTGGAACTGAATTGTTGCAGATTTGGGGCTGATTTGGGGCTGAGTTGATGGAAATCTGGCACCCACGAAGAGAAAGGGGGGACACGTTGTGCCATTCCTTTTTGGGGACAAAAGGGCAGATTTGGGACTGATTTGGGGCTGAATTGGTGCAGATTTGGAACTGAATTGTTGCAGATTTGGGGCTGATTTAGGGCTGAGTTGGTGCAGATTTGGGGCTGATTTGGGGCTGAGTTGGTGCAGATTTGGGGCTGATTTGGGGCTGAGTTGGTGCAGATTTGGAACTGAATTGTTGCAGATTTGGGGCTGATTTGGGGCTGAGTTGATGGAAATCTGGCACCCACGAAGAGAAAGGGGGGACACGTCGTGCCATTCCGTTTTGGGGACAGAAAAGCAAACCCGGTGCAAATTCCAGCTGGGTTTGGCCCAGGCCGGCGCCGTCACGTCCCCGGTGTCCCCGGTGTCCCCGGCAGGGTCCCGTAGATGTCCCCGCGGCGGTGGCCGTGCACGGGCAGGTCCCTGCGCACCTGCTCCAGGTAGGCCAGGTCGATGTGGGCCAGGCACAGCCCCGGCCCCTCGTGGCACTGGGCCACCACGGCGCCCCAGGGATCGGCCACCAGCGAGTGGCCGAAGGACGCGCGGCTGGCGTTGTGCCGGCCGGTCTGAGCCGCGGCCACCACGTAGCACTGGCACTCGATGGCACGGGCACGCAGCAGCACCTGAGGGGACAGTGCTGTCACTGAGGGGGACATGGGGGGCACGGGCACGCAGCAGCACCTGAGGGGACTGTGCTGTCACCAAGGGGGACATGGGGGGCACAGGGGGCAGGGGCAGACAGCAGCAGCTGTGGGGACAGCAGTGTCACTGAGGGGGACATGGGGGGCACTCGATGGCATGGGCATGCAGCAGCACCTGCGGGGACTGTGCTGTCACTGAGGGGGACGTGGGGGCCATTCAATGGCACGGGCACGCAGCAGCACCTGAGGGGACAGTGCTGTCACTGAGGGGGACACGGGGGGCACAGGGGGCATGGGCACACAGCAGCATCTGCAGCGACAGTGGTGTCACCAGGAAGGGACAGCAATGTCACCCAGGGGACAGAACCAGGGGACATGGGGGGCACTCGATGGCACAGGCACCCCAACCCCCACCAGGGTGTGGGTGTTCCCACTCCCGCCAGGGTGTCCCCAAGCCCCCCAGGGGATGTCCCCAGTCCCCCAGGGTGTCCCCAAGCCCCCCGGGGGATGTCCCCAGTCCCCCAGGAGAGGTCCGTAGTCCCCCAGGGGATGTCCCCAACCCCCAGGGTGTCCCCAAGCCCCCCAGGGGATGTCCCCAGCCCCCAGGGTGTCCCCAAGCCCCCCCGGGGGTGTCCCCTCACCTCCCAGTGCGCAGAAGCGGCCGGGGGGGTCCACCAGGGTGTGGGTGTTCCCACTCCCGCCAGGGTGTCCCCAAGCCCCCCAGGGGATGTCCCCAGCCCCCAGGGTGTCCCCAAGGCCCCCAGGGGGTGTCCCCAGTCCCCCAGGGGAGTCCCCAGCCCCCAGGGTGTCCCCAAGCCCCCCAGGGGATGTCCCCAGCCCCCAGGGTGTCCCCAAGCCCCCCCAGGGGTGTCCCCTCACCTCCCAGTGCGCAGCTCCGGTGGGGACGGTGAAGGCCGAGGGGAAGGTCAGGATTTGGGCACCGGCCCCGCGCAGGGCCTGGGCCAGCTCCGGGAAACGCAGGTCATAGCACACGGCCAGCCCCAGCTGGGGGGACAGTGAGGGGACATTGGGGACAGCCCTGGGCATGGGGCCAGCTCCGGGAAACGCAGGTCATAGCACACGGCCAGCCCCAGCTGGGGGGACAGTGAGGGGACATTGGGGACAGCCCTGGGCATGGGGCCAGCTCCGGGAAACGCAGGTCATAGCACACGGCCAGCCCCAGCTGGGGGGACAGTGAGGGGACATTGGGGACAGCCCTGGGGACAGCCCTGGGCATGGGGCCAGCTCTGGGAAACGCAGGTCATAGCACACGGCCAGCCCCAGCTGGGGGGACAGTGAGGGGACATTGGGGACAGCCCTGGGGACAGCCCTGAGCATGGGGCCAGCTCCGGGAAACACAGGTCATAGCACACGGCCAGCCCCAGCTGGGGGGACAGTGAGGGGACATTGGGGACAGCTGGGGACACTCTGGGGCCATGGGGGTTCAGGGG